AACGTCATTAGGGTTCAGACATTTCAGGAGTGGGGTTGAGGTCCCTCGTTTGTATAAACATCCTTTTACTAGGCAGAAATGTGCGCTCCGCCGTATTAGCTTTTGACCTTCATTCTTATCCGAGGGTAACACCCCTTCGGCTAAGTAGTTGATGATAGGCGTTGTCCAGGTTTCCTCAGTGGCGTCCTCTGGGGGTTAGAAATGCTCATTACGATGCACGGGTTTGGCATGTTGTGCTGGATTACCGATTTGTTGTTCCCTGGGCTTTTGGTGCTTGCCAGCTTGGCGAGGATATCTGCCCGTGTATTTTCAGCTCGCCTTATATGCTCTACTTCAACAGCTTCAAAGCTTCCAATCAACTCCTTCACCTTCTCCAAGTACCTGCACATTAATGGTCCTTTGGTTTGGTATTCGCCTGAGATCTGGAAAGCTACCAGTTGGGGGTTAGTGAAGACTTTGAGGCATCGGGCGCCCATTTCTTTTGCTTGGAGCAGTCCTGCTATCATGGCCTCATATTCCGCCTGATTATTTGTGGTGTTGAAATCAAAAGTCAGAGAATGTTCGAGTGCTACTCCATCTGGGTTTTCAACTATCATTCCCGCGCCCGATCCTTTGGCGTTCGAAGAGCCATCAACGTACAAATTTCAGTTACCAGCTGAAGGCGTTTCAGTCGCATGCTTCTCAGGATGGGGGTTTGGAGTCATCTCGGCGATGAAGTCTGTCAAGGCTTGGGCCTTAATGGCCGTTCTTGGTTCGTAGGCGATCTGGTATTTTGATAGTTCTATCGCCCAAGACATCATTCTTCCAGCAAGGTCTGGCTTATGTAACACTTGTCGAATTGGCTGGTTTGTTCTGACAGTGATTGGATGGCACTGGAAGTACGGCCTTAAACGCCTTGCAGCAAAGATGAGTGTTAATGCTACCTTCTCAACTTGCTGGTACCAGAGTTTCGCTCCTTGTAAGACTTTGCTGATAAAATAGACAGGCTTTTGTCCTTCCTTTGACTCCTTGACTAGGGCCGCGCTGATTGCCTCTGATCCGACGGCGAGGTATAAGTACAACATTTCTCCGTGCTCGGGTTTGGAAAGTACTGGTGGGCATGAGAGAGCCCTTTTGAACTCCTGAAAGGCGCTCTCGCATTCTTCTGACCATCGAAAGGCGGTCCCCTTTTTTAACAACCCGAATAGGGGAGGGACTTGTGTGCTGAGTTTGCCAAAAATCGGGCGAGGGCTACCAACCTTCCAGTTAGTTGTTGAACTTCCTTGATTGTTTGCGGGCTCCGCATTTCAATGACCGCCTTACACTTGTCTGGGTTAACCTCTATGCCTCGCTTCGTGAGCATGAAGCCAAGGAATTTTCCCGCAGGAACACCAAAAGCACGCTTGCTGGGGTTGAGGCGCATGTTAAATTTTCGCAGTCTTTGGAAAACGCCTTGGAGATCTGCTAAATGTTGGTCTGCCGTCTTTGATTTGGCTATCATGTCATCAATGTAAACTTCTATACAATTGCCGATCAAGTCTCTGAATACCTCGTTCATCATCCTCTGATACGTGGCGCCCGCAATTTTCAACCCGAAGGGCATCATCGTATAACAATAATTGGCGTTCTGAGTAATGAACGTCGTTTTGTCTTGATCTTCCTCTAACAACGGAATCTGATTATAGCCTGAATATGCGTCCATAAAAGACAACATCTGGAAACCAGAGGCGTTGTCAACCAGCTGGTCGATGCTTGGGAAAGGATAGGCGTCCTTGGGGCAGACCTTGTTAAGATCTGTGTAGTCAACGCACATTCTCCACGCGCCATTTGATTTCTTTACCAAAACTGGATTGGACAACCAAGTTGTGTACTTGATTTCCCTGATGAACCCGGCGTCAAAGCCAAACTTCGACTGTATGTATCTTGATATTATCTATAATGATACTATCTGTGAGATTTCTTCATCAATGACCTTCTGGCGATCAAAGCCAAACTTCCTCTTCTTTTGCGCAACCGGTTTTGCTTTAGGGTCCATCGACAAACGGTGGCAGCATACGTTTGGGTCGATACCTGGCATATCAGACGGTTTCCAAGCGAACAAATCTTTATTTGCTTTTAACAACTGTATCAGCTTTTTTTTACTTCGGGTTCGATTGTTGCCCCGATTGTTGTCGTCTGGTGATCCGCCTCGCCCAACACCACGTGTTCTAATGCTCCGTCAGGCGTAGGTATGGCATGCTCGACTCTGGGATCGTCCCTGGCGTCAAAATCTACCAAGAAGCACTGGTTCGGGATTTCCTTCAGCTGGGGATGTCTCCTTCTGCTGGGGTGTCGCTTCTTTTTTGAAGGTAACCTTTGTCATTGGCCGCAGAGAGATGTTGTAGCAACTTCGGGCAACAATTTGATCTCCTCGTATAGTAGCTATGTTATTATCTCTGGCTATGAACTTCATTGCCAGGTGGGGGTGGGAGATGCTCGCCTCAAAGGCTGCAAACATCCTCCTGCCTAGAATGGCATTGTAAGCGGATGGTGTATCCAACACTAGGAATTGGATGTCTGCGGATCGTGATGTTGGCAGCGTTCCAAGCGAGAGACGCAGGTTTATCACCCTCAAAGGCTTGGAGGTGGTAGCATTGAAACCTGAAAGTTCACCTGCGACAGGAGTTAGATCGTTAATTGTGAACCCTAATGCTTTGAGAGATGGCAAGAATAAAATATCGGCTGAGCTGCCGTGGTCAACAAATACACGGTTGACGCCGTAATTGGCGATTATCGCTTGGATGACAAGTGGGTCGTCGTGCCCGGGGAGAACGTCCCCCAACTCGCTGTTGTCCCAAACTATGTTTGGCCTGGCTGCGCCATGGTGCCCTTTATCTTTGCTGATCACCTTTCCTGCAATCATTAGGCATTGTTTTAGATGCTTCTTCCTGGCAATGGACGTTTCGCCCCCGCGGCTTAAACCTCCAGAGATCATATTAATTACTCCGTGCTTGATGATGGCAGAGTCTTCTTCTTCAACTCGCCTCCCTCCTCGGCTCGGGCTTGTCTGTGTTCTGGTTCTTTGAGGTGAGTCTTCTCTTTGGCCTCGTTCTTGGCGGGACCGAACATTGGCCTGATTGGTTTTCCTCCTTTCTGGCGACTTGCTTCGGTCGCGGTATCGCCTTTCTGATCTGGAGGGGCGAGCATTATCTCCTCTGCTTTTTTGTGTACCGCCTTTGATGAGTTCGTCGATCTCGTCCTTGAGGCGCCTGCAATCCTCTGTGTTGTGGCCGCTACTGCGATGAAACTTGCAGTATGGTGCGACCTCTTTGCTTGGTTGCTGGGGCCTTTGGTTGCTTTTCTCACCCTCTTTGTAATCTGTTTGTAAGACAGCGTGCGACTGTCGTTCGGATGTGTCCCGCCCAGAATGGCGGGCGGAACGGCTGGATGCTTGGTATCCTTTCCTATTTTCCTCAACATGATTCCTTCCCTTGCTGATCGCCTTTTCTTGACAGTGGGAGTCATTAGCTCGACTCCCTTTGTATTCTTCAATTCTCATAAATTCCTGCGCCTTTTTCTTGACTTCCTCTAAGTCAGTAATTTCATGTCGCGCGAGGTCGTAAGCGAACTCTCCTTGTCGCAAGCCTGACAAGAGTATATGTACCTGTACTTTGGGGTCTAGGCCTTGCACTTGCAAGGCCTCTTTATCAAAACGATCTAGGAAGGACCAGAGGGTCTCGCCAGAAAGCTGTCGGACTTTTTCAAAGGCGTGCACGGATTTGGGTACGGGGCGACTGGTTGCAAAATGGGATTGAAACTTGCTTGCTAAATCGTCCCATGACGCAATGCTGCCTGTTGGCAGGGTGGTGTACCAGGTAAGGGCTCTCCCTCCCAACAATGTTGGGAAAGTTCGGCACATGAGTAAATCCGTTTCGCCGTGGAGTGTCATTGCTGCTTCGAATTTCTGGATCCACTCAAATGGATCGGTATCGCCAACGTATGTGGTGATGTTGGAGGGACCCTTGAAACCCAGGGGTATGGGAGTTAGCCTCAGGCTATCGGTCAAAGGCTTGTTACGCCCTGACGTGTGGGCAGGCGTTACTCTGATATGTTCTCGTTGTGGACGAGGCATTTGTGGGGCTTCAACGGAGTAGGAGAGGGCCGGGGCTTGGTGGAAAGCTTGCTGAGCATCATATGGTTGTTGGTTAGGATTCAGGCAAGATGCCTGAGGTTGTGGAACGGCTGCGTTATGGGGTTGCATGGCGTAGCCATGGAAAGGGAAACCAGCTTGGTGAGGTAGTTGAAAAGGAAAAGCTACGTTAGGCGTGTATGGCCTAGGTAGGTATGGGGCGACCATGGGTATCTGGTGGTCATGGTATACTGGCAGTGGTTGACTTTGGCTGGTAACGGAGGACGGGTGAGATAGGCAGGTCGTGGGACAACTGCTGGAAATGGCATTCCAAAATGGACTCCGGGGGGAGGTGGCTGGTTTAGGACTACATTTTCTCCCTGCATCTCGCACACGGGTGCTTGATAATGTTGCAGGGCGATCCTCGCATCGTTCGTTGGCAGCAGTGGGCCTATGGTCTGTAGTACAGGAGGTTGGACTTCTCCAGCGGCCCGCTCGGTTGGGGCCGAATGCATAGATTGAGGGGAGCTTGGTTGTACTGTCTGTACGTGTCCTTCTGGCGTCATGGCCCTGGCGTGCTCCGCTCTCCTGGTGGTGACAACCATGTAGAGTTGTAAAAAGCGTCTGGCGGTTGTTTGTTAGTAAGAGGAAATGACCCGTCAAATGGATCTTTGGGTAAGAGAATGGGAATAGAAGTTTATCTTTTCCCACAGACGGCGCCAATGTACCGTTTGGTTCTGTGAGCTCACTATGTACCCTTTGAGGGTAATGTTGTTATATGGATGGTACCTCCAGCTAAGGTAATGACCAGGCTAGAAGGTACTGTTCCAAGAACAAGCAAGCAGATATCAATGGTAGACAAATAGTATGGGTATGACTTAAGAGTAAATGGGCGTAAATACAGTACATAAAAGATGATCTTCCTGCTGTGCCCATGAGGGCTATTTATAAGGAAAATGGTGTGGGTTGGTGAGGTAGGGGTCAGCCCTTCTTGGGATGTACCCCCCTGATGGCAGTGTTAGGCGCGGTTGGCGCTGCCACGATGGCAGCACTGCATCAGGCGATGTCAGCACTGAGCAAAGGGGCAGATTCCTTTGCAGTGCTTATGGCGACTGGGTTTAGCGGTTAATGTCCCAAAGTGGGACGTTTTGGTGTATATCTTGGACGTGCTGCAGTCTTGGAGAGCGTGAGGGTCCACGTCAGCCCTAAGGGCTGACTCAGGAGAAAGCTGAGGATTGAGTCTGAGTAACTGAGCCGCTCCATTGCTTGGGCCATCCGGAACAATTCCTAAAATCTTACAAATATAAAATGATTTCAATAGTTATAATAAATCATTTGAACTCATTAATTTGCATTAGTCAAAAGTCATAAGTCATAAAATTCAAACAGTTTTGTTTTTCATTTCAATGATCCATAATTTAATGGTTAATATTTTGTCATTAAAACTGATTATCACTACAATTATAAATTTGGTTCATAGCATGAGAATAATAATTCATTTCAACTCATTAATTTGCGTTAATAAAAAGCTCAAAAGTCAAAAGCATAATATTCAAACAGTTTGTCTTGAATAATTTCTCGGAAAAATATTTCCGCAGTTAATGCAGATAAGTTATCTGCATTTAATCTCAAAACGACGTCGTTTTGGTATTAAAATCTTAAAAAATTATAAATATAAATATTATTATAACCTTGGAATAAATTAAAATAATAAAAATACCATGATTTCTGCCCAAAACGACGTCGTATTGACTTACTACAGATAATTTATCTGCATTAACTGCAGAAAAAGCGAACCCATAATTTCTTTTCTTCTTTTATTGATTTGAGATGTGCCAGTTCATTATAGATCTAAGATTTCATTAATGTTTTAGGCAAAAAACTAAACAGTAATATTGGTTTTAAATGATTAATTTATAAAATTTATAAAATATCATAATTATATTCGAATTGAATTATTTATACGTATGTATTATTATAAAAGAGATTCTTCTAATTTAATCGTATTTAAGTTATTTGTAAAATTTCGAGATAAATATCGAGGCGAAGATAAAATAGAAAAAATGAACGCATTATAATGGGACAACCATTCAAAGGGGCAAGATATACTTACCACCAAAATTTTTTATCATCTTTACAACTAACCTAATTACCGTTGATTTCCGTCAATCTAATGGTTATAATTTATTGCGAATTAATAATTAATTAATAAATGTGATCCAATAATTTTCAATAAATTATAACCGTTAGATTGACGAAAATCAACGGTGATTAGGTAAGTTGTAAATGTGGTAAATTTTTTTGGTGGTAAGTATATCCTTCTTCACCATCAAAATGTCACATTTTATCATTTTATTTTTTGAAATGCCATACTTCAGAAAAAATATACCAGAATGCCATGAAACATGATGCTTTCCGCGTGCCACGCGAGCAAAGACCATTATAAAAACAAAACAAAAAATAGAAGATCTCTCAGCATGTATAACATTATAAATAAATATATTTCTTATACTATTCCTAAAATCTTACAAATATAAAATGATTTCAATAGTTATAATAAATCATTTCAACTCATTAATTTGCATTAGTCAAAGGTCATAAGTCATAAAATTCGAACAGTTTTGTTTTACATTTCAATGATCCATAATTTAATGGTTAATATTTTGTCATTAAAACTGATAATCACTACAATTATAAATTTGGTTCATAGCATGAGAATAATAACTCATTTCAACTCATTAATTTGCGTTAATAAAAAGCTCAAAAGTCAAAAGCATAATATTCAAACAGTTTGTCTTAAATAATTTCTTTTCTTCTTTTATTGATTTGAGATGTGCTAGTTCATTATAGATCTAAGCTTTCATTAATGTTTTAGGCAAAAAAATTAAACAGTAATATTGGTTTTAAATGATTAATTTATAAAATTTATAAAATATTATAATTATATTCTAATTGAATTATTTATATGTATGTATTATTATAAAAGAGATTCTTCTAGTTTAATCGTATTTAAGTTATGAGTTTTATAAGAGTTATGTTGTAGGAAAAGTGATTGTATAATGTTATAGAGATTCATTTTGCATGCTATATATTTTTTTTTTGCTTCAAAATATTGTGTGTGTAAGAAACTTTTTTGTGTCATGTTAAATGATGAATACAAATCCCTTAAGTTATTTGTAAAATGTCGAGATAATTATCCAGAAGAAGATAAAATAGAAAAATGAACGCATTATAACGGGACAACCATCAAAATGTCACATTTTATCATTTTATTTTTCGAAATGCCATACTTCAGAAACAATATACCAAAATGCCATGAAACATAGATGCTTTTCGCGTGCCACGCGAGCAAAGACCATTATAAAAACAAAACAAAAAACAGAAGATTTCTTTTTTTTGCATTACAAAAACAGAAGATTTCTTAGCATGTATAACATTGTAAATAAATATATTTCTTATACTATTCCTAAAATCTTACAAATATAAAATGATTTCAATCGTTATAATAAAGGGTTTAATGTTTGTCATTTAAAAAGATGGTCCTTTTAGATGAATGTAGTGTATTTTTTAAATTTTAAATTACAAAATTTTTCCTCCACTTTCTCTCTCCCATAACTTGTTCTTTTATCTCTCTTAAAAGGATATAAGTGTGTGTCCTTTAGAGGACACACACTTTTCCCTATAAATCATTTCAACTCATTAATTTGCATTAGTCAAAAGTCAAAAGTCATAAAATTCAAACAGTTTTGTTTTACATTTCAATGATCCATAATTTAATGGTTAATATTTTGTCATGAAAACTGATAATCACTACAATTATAAATTTGGTTCATAGCATGAGAATAATAACTCATTTCAACTACTCATTAATTTGCGTTAATGAAAAGGTCAAAAGTCAAAAGCATAATATTCAAACAGTTTTGTTTTACATTTTAATGATCATCCTTAATTTAATGGTTAATATTTTATCATTAAAACTGATAGTCACTTCAGTTATAAATTCGGTGCATAGCATGGCTTCTTATCAATTATATTGTGAGTAAAATTCTATATTGGAGAGCATATTAGCTGCAGCAAAAACATTGAGAAATGGCGAATGCTTCAATCAAATTGGTCCTCTTCATGTTCTTTTTTCTGGTTGCATCAGGTATTCCTCCTCGCTTCTTATAAACTATATATTTGGATGTCTGATAAACTGTAAAAATTGTGTATTTTTTATATGCTTACTTTTTTGCTACAATCAACTATATTGCGTTCAACAATTATTATAAATACAATTAATTACTTTCTCAAAGTTTTGTGCAACAAATACATAATTGAATCCTAAATATGTTATGTTTGAAGTATTAGTAAAAGCATAAAACCTTATGTTTGATGGTAATAATTATACTGAATTATTTTTGAAAAAAGAAATTTTGCTTAAAGAATATTAATTTTGTGCTATTGTATTATTTTAATTTCAGGTTTGACGCAACAAGCTTTTGCAAGCGGAGCCGATGTATGCAAAACCAACGCAGAATGTATCAAAGCATGCGCTTTTCTCCCAAAATGCAAACCACAATGCTTAGGTGGATGGTGCATTTGTTGTCCTTCTGCAAAAGTGCAAACATAACAAACTGTTGGTGTCAATGGCTTGTTTGAACGTAGATTGGATTAAAATAATGCTAAATAATTTCTAATATAATAATAATTATATATTTTGAACTTTCTCATATTGTCATCTTGATTCTGGTTCTGCTGTCTCGTTAGAATCTTATGTTTATTTTTATTTTTTTTAACAAAATCTTACATTTTTTCGTTAATTTTACTGAGAAATGATAGCGTATAACATATAACATAAAAATTATTATGTATATCTAATGACTGTAACTCAGTAGACAACTCAAATGGAGTGAAATGGAAAGAGAATCTATGTTCGATTCACACTTGACTCGTCTCAAAGAAATAATTAAAATTGGTATAACGAAAAAAAATATTATTTTATAGTGTTCAATATCTAGCAAGAAGCTGTAACTATGAATTAATATTTGAAAGTTTATCTATCAATATATTATATAATAAATTTTTCTTGAAGAATTAATAATGCCATTAAATTATTATATATAATGTAACCAAAAAAAAATTAATTATATATAATATTCTCTCAATAAATAATATTTTGGATAAAGTATACTTTAGTCTATTGTGATTTGACTCAAAAGCATATTGCTTTCATTTGTTATAAATTT